GAATTATTTAATATTGATTATAAAGTACAAATATTTAGAGTGAATAAAAGTATAAAGGATACAGATGGACTACCAAAAAAGAGGTTAGTGTCTGAGGGTTCGGCAATGGAAAAACCCAGAGTAATTTTTAAAAATCAAAAAGAAGAAGTCTAGAAATGAAAACAAAAACATTTAAATGAATAATCCATGGAGTGATTAAAGAACAAGTTAGAAAAGATTAGGGAGTATGTAAGTGAAATGAAAGAACACTTGAAGACAAGAGAAAAGGAGGGAGAAACTATAAAAGCTACAGGTGTGAGGGATAACATTTGCAGAGAGGATCAGAATCATTGGGAGAACGCAGACAAGCCATATTGGAAGACAGCATATGTGATGGTAGTCAGGACTGGTTGTCCACTGGATCGTCCCATTTAAGAAACACAGTTCATCACTATTGGAAAAGATACCTTTAATGAATACCGTGCTGCATCATAGTAAAACTATTTCTAATTCCCATCTTTCCATTTTCTGTTGAATCTATGACAAATTGGATTTTTGCCCCAATAGCTCACTGAAACCATTCCCTATTCTGTACACAAAATAACAAAATCTCATCTTACTTGATTAGGAGCAGCATTCAACAGAGTGGATCATTATTCTTCCTGGAAACATTTTTCATGTGGTACCCATGGCAACATATTTTCACGGGTTTGAGTCCCATCTTGTCATTACGCTTTTGATCTTGTTTGCTGATTTTACCTCTTCTCCTCTTTCTCTTTACATTAGAGAGTCACAGAGCTTATCCTAGAACTTCCTCTTATTTATATCCACTTTAAGTTCCTGGGTGACAATCTCTGTTACTTCGTTTTAAGCAGCACGTGCAAGCTGAAAAGCCCAGTTTTATACTTTCTTGCCTATATCTCACCATTCACCTTAAGGCATTGATATCTGAGCCCATTTGTGTGTTTCATGGAAAATTCACTCTTCGGATGTCCAATCCAAACACAGAGTCTTAATCACACCTACGTCATGTATAATCTTTTCCAGCTCATTGAATGGAAACAGATTCAGTCTGTTTTCAGATACTCAAGGTAAAGCACATGCTTCATCCGTGACCCCTTTCCTTCTTTCTCAGGCCACGTTCTCACATTAGAGGCTTCTTAACAGTGACTTCAAAGTATTCCAGAGTCCAATCTCTCATCACCATTGCCACTCTTTACCTTAGCCCAAGCCACCACATCCCTGTAGTGTTTTGAGTCTCCCTGTTTTTGTTCTTAATTTTTTACTTCTTTTTAACTGCCAAATTGGGACTAGTATAATGTAGTTAGAGCATGCTACTCATCTGTTCCTGCTTTTTGAAAAAGAAGTTACAGACTTACCTAGCAAAAACCTGGGAGATTTGATCTTTTCAATTCATGCATATTACTTTATAATACAGCATTTCTCAATCTTTACTTAATTATCTCCCACAAATTCAACCTGCCAAGGAGTCTTTACAGATATAGTATCGCCATGAAAATTCAAAACCAAAAATATGTTATGTCTCTCTTTATGTACTATATGGGTAACTGTGCTGTTTACATAAAAAGGGCAAATATTTTTCGCTACCAACAAACAGAAATACAATTATATGAGAATATTATTTTCCTAAAGATTTTTTTCTTTATTTGTCAGAAGTGAGAGAGAGAGCATAAGCAAGCAAAGTAGCAGGTTCCCTGCTGAGCAAGGAGCCCAATACAGGACTCAATCCCAGGACCCTGGGATCATCACCTGAAATGAAGGCAGTCGCTTAACTGACAGAGCCACCCAGGTGTCCCTATAAGAGAATATAGCTTTTTTAAAGATTTTATTTATTTATTTGACAGAGACACAGCAGGAGAGGTAACACAAGCAGAGGAAGCAGGAGAGGGAGAAGCAGGCTTCCTGCTGATCAAGGAGCCTGATTTAGAGCTCAATCCCAGGACCTTGGATCATGACCTGAGTCAAAGGCAGACACTTAATGACTGAGCCACCCAGGTGCCCGCAGAGAAAAGTATTAAAAAAATATTTAGACCAACAAATGGGGACAACCTGGAAGAAATGGATAAATTCCTAGAAACATGAACTACCAAAACCAAAACAGGAAGAAATGGAAAACTTGAGCACATGGAAAACCAGCAAGGAAATTGAATCAGTCATCAAAAATCTCCCAACAAACATAACTCCAGGGCCAGCTGGTTCCCAAGGGGATTCTGCCAAACATTTAAAGAGGAGTTAATACCTATTCTCCTCAAAAAATTCCAAACTAATAGAAATGGAAGGAAAACCTCCTAATTCATTCTATGAAGCCAGTATTAGCCTAATCGCAAAACCAGAAAAAGACTCCACTATAAAAGAGGACTGCTGTCCAACAATGTGATACACCATATTCATAAAAAGTATAAGTACCATATGAAGCTTTCAAGAGATGTATAGAAAGATTTTGACAATGCACATTCTAAATAGTTGGAGATAAATAACACTAAACTGTTGTTAATGGGTTGATGTTTTTAGATATTTCCCATTATAATAGAAATGACATCAGGAGAGTATAAAGGAAAGAAGTATATAACACCAAGTTTTAGCAACCTGTATGAAAATAGAACTGACACATCTAAGATACTCTTCAAAGACCTGAATTTTCAGGTCTCAGCATTTGTGATCGAGAAAAAAGCAAGTTAACAGCATAAGTGGTCAAGCCTCTGAACCCAATATCTTGTGGAACATAAACATTTCTCAGAGTCATGTCGCAATTAAATGACACACTATGATCTGAAAGTCTCAGACATTCTGGAGGTGTGTGATGAGATAAAGTGTCTTCAAAACAGCCCAAGTGTAAGGATTTCCTGTTCAAATTTTAAGTGACACATTGAGAGAAATCTATTTTTTCCACTATTGCCTCACTCTGAGCTCTCTCACAGGGCTGGCAGTCTGTGAAGACCACAGATACTGTCCGGTAACAAGAGTAACCTGGTCTCCCAGTGGAAGATGTAGGACTCTGGCCAACAGAAGGTATGTGTCACTCCTCTGCTGTCTCTCTCCTAGCCACCTCACTTAGTGGGAGATACAGATGCTGGATGGGATACAACAAATACACAATGAAATCACAGAGAACACTGGTTAACTCTATTCCAACAACTCAGGGTAACAGGAATAAATATGATATAGGTCAGAGAATATCTTAAAATATTCATATTCTTGCCTGTGGAGAAGTAGTCAAATGTATACACACACAGATGTTAAGGGTTTATAAATCCATATAACATCACGTGAAATCTCATAAACATCATACATGACAAGGAACTGTTAATTTGGATTTGTCATCAACATAGAAATAATTTCATATATTACTTGATATTTAGCCCAGCCATTAAAAATAAATTCTTAAGTAAAATTATATAATCATGAAGGTCAAATATAATTCTTCATATACTTTCTTAAATAAAACTGTTTAATTTTTCCTAATAGCAGGATGAAGTAACTTTCCTAATATGCTAATTTAAGTTTAACTATAAATAATTATAAGATTTCTAAAAAAAAAAAAAAAGAACAAAACTTTGCAAAAGTTTGCACTACACTGATGAAAGATTTCATCACACCACCCCTGTGGATCATGGTATATAGTATGATATGATTCAGAAACAATAATATGACAATTGTGTTAAAAATAGAAATAAAATAACTAACATATTATTAAGAGTTTATAAAGACCTGCTTGAATCTTAAGTGTCTTACATGTATTAGAGCTTACATATTTTCATCTCAATGATAGATTAGTAACCTGGATAGCTAGACACGAAGAAACTTTAAAAGATCACACATTGCAACTTTGAGAACCAGAAGGGATTCTAGAGCTCATCCACTGTAGAGCTAATTATGTGAATTATTAGATTATGTTTATTTGAGTTATTATAATTGCTTGCACAATAAAGCTATCTTCATTGCCCTTGACAGCCATAGATAGTTTCTGAGTTCATACCAACACTATTCTTCCATAAATGATCTCTAATTTTATTTATCATTTTATACTTGCATATGTTGGCCATTATCAATTACCCTTTCTTGGTGTCAAATAAGGATTTTTAGAAATCTTTTCTTTTATTTTCTTTTCTTGGTTTTTAGTATTGTCTAGACTTTGGATAAGTTTAGTGTTTCATGTAGCATTTTTCACCATATACAACCCATATACAGTATTTCTTTAAAACTTAGTGATTTCCAGACTTCTACAATCATTCAAAATGAAAGGTCATTTAATAAGACCTCAACACATTTTACTAAGTATACAGAAGTCACCAAATAAAACTAATTTACTGCATGAGTTTCCTGTATATGCTAAAACCATTGTTTAGGTTTTAGATAAGTTTAATGTGTCATGTAGCATTTTTCACCATATACATTATTTGTTTAAAATTTAATGATTTCTAGAATTCCACAATCATTCAAAATGAAAGGTCATTTAATAAGACCTCATCCCCTTTTACTAAGTATACCTAAGTCACCAAATAAAACTAATTTACTGCAGGAATTTCCTGTATACTTTAATACCATTATTACCCCAATTACTTTAGAACATTCAATCATTAACCATTCATGGATTTTAAAAATTGTCATAAAAATTAGTTTCATTATTTTTTAATAATAGCATTTTAGTTTTAACCCTGTTATTCTAACCCTGTGTCTATGGAAATTGACTTTAAGTTAAAAAAGGCATCATTCTTTATGAGTTTCTTTATTCCTCACTAATTTATTGCTTTTCATGACTACATTCAATAATATTGCAGAAACATAAAATATCACTTTAAAAATCACTTATTCTCTGATGAAACACTTATTTCAAGCTCTGAGGAAATCAGAACGAGAATTTTACATCATTCAACTGCAAAGGAGTGTTACCACTTTCTTCACACTCCACCCAGTGTGACTCTAGCAGGGCTCTTGTCATTACCTTTACCGTTTGTCAACTACATCAGTCCAGTTTTCATACAGCACAGGCCCTGAAATCTCTCAGCTGCTGAGATGAATAACCAAAAAGAAAACCTCTCAGAACCAAATCTGGTTAAGAACTCAAGAAGACAACAGTCGAAAGGTAAGTGCACTAAAAGCTCTAATTCAGTAACTGAGCAGGAAATCATCTGTGCAGAATTAAATCTTCAAAATGTGTCTGAAGACCTGGAAGGGAATGACAAGAACTACCACTGCAAAAATAAAGCACACAGTTAAGGCACAAGGTACAACTGTTCTAGGATGTGGACTTGGTGTGCAGATGTGTGGGGAAGAGTAGGGATTGATCTCATATATTTTTCATTTGTGAGGATCAGAACTTGAAGCTGGAATAAGGTATTGTTTTTGAGATCTGAGGACTAATTCACCCCGGCATTGTTGTAAATCATAATCCTTGACCAACAACTCATGGAGCATGAGGCTTACTGACAGTTAAGTGGTATATTGTGAGGAAGATTACAATGGTAGATATGGGTTTGTGGTCCATGTTTATACCTATAATTCCCTGTGTATCTTTGGTTCTCTTGTATGTAAACCATCTAAACTTTAGTCTTTATCCATCCATCCTTTCTCACTGTTTCATTTCTCTCCCCACATATCTGCCATTATCCCTAGAGAAGCTCCTTGCTGTGATTTTGGGAATCACATGTCTTGTCTTGATATACGTTGTAGCAAGAATGATAAGTTCTCTTCCCTGTGAGTAAATCTTTGAATGATTATAAGAAATCTTTTCATTTTAATAATCAGCAGTGCCTGTAAATATTTCAAGTGTTGTGGGATGGAACTTTCCTTTTCATGTGTGCATTTAGACTAAATGTGGAATGCTTATTCTGAATTTATCAAAAGTATAGATAACAAAAACTATAGAAAATATACATATATATAATTGAGAAACACAAGTTAACTCTTTAGATTGGTTAAACAAAATACTGTAAGAGATGCTGAAGTTAATTGTTTAAGTTTTTGAATTGATTTCTCTTCAAATCATCATGATATTATTAACTGATCCTAATAAATCAATTTTATTTTATTCCAGAGTATTCTAATCTTAAAAAATAGACCAAATTTCAAACAGAAAAAGTAAATAGTTACAATGATTTTTTTCCTCATAATTTCCTTAATTTATATTTTTAGGTAGTGGAACACTACAGCAGAACAATTCATACCCAGTTACAAGAATCCAAAAAGGTATGCAATGATTTTCATAGTTCTGATAGTAGTACAGTTTATATTTTGTCTCCATCTAGGCTATGAAAAATCAAAACAGTTTCGGGGGAGACATAAACTATAAAATGCAGATAATAGATGTTAATAGGTAATGTTATAAGATAGTATTCTTATGCAACAATATGAAAAAATCCTGTTTTAAAATCACCACACTCTTTGTTACCAGTTGCCTCAAGTTTACTCCTGCTATAACATAAGAGAGAAATCATTTTACAATGGCAAAAAGTGCTTTTGTTCAGTGACTCAAAGGACATGTAGAGATGGACATTTTCATGTATTTGCCTTATATGGGCACATAAATTAGGGGAAGAAAGCTTGACTTTCCAGAAGTGTGCTTGTGTTTTATTTTTGCCAGCATGTGAGGGTGCATGGATATGCTATATACACATGTGCATACAGATGCAAGTTGTAAATTTGTGTGTTTTAATATTCAAAGCTGTTTGGATAATATCTCATAAACTTTCTTTAGCTGATCCATGTGGTCATTGTCCAAAAGAGTGGATTACATACTCCAACAACTGCTATTACATTAGCACTGAAGGAAAACCATGGGATGAGAGTTTGATGTTCTGTGCTTCTAAGAACTCTAACCTGCTCTCCATAGATGAAGAGGACATGGTAAAATTTCAAATATTTCCAGCATTTTATTAAAAGCTTATCAGTTGAGGGATGCCTGGGTGTCCCAATCCATTAAGTATCTGTCTTCAGTTGAGATCATGATCCCAGGGTCCTTGCTCAGCAGGGAGCCTGCTTCTCCCTCTCCCTGCCACTCCCACACCTTGTGTCCCCTCAGTCTCTTGCTGATAAATAAATAAATGAAATCTTTAAAAAAAAAATCTTATCAGTTAATATTATACTGGTAGAATTCATCCATATTTTTGTACATTTCGGGTCTGTTACTATTCCATAGCTTGACTCTACAATATTTTATTTATATTTTTATACCTTTAATATACATTTGGTATTTTCCAGGTTGTGCTTTTCATTGAAAACCATGCTTCGATAGATGCTCTGATATAACTTTACTATTTAATTTTACCATTATCATCAAGGCAACTAAACATATGATTCTGCAACTCGATCACAAAGTAGTTGGAAATACGTAATTACAAATCAGAGCATGAAATAGAAGTTTAGAGCCTCTATCAGCCCTGCCCATTTTAATATTATAAAACATCTTTGCTTATTTTCAGACCTTACATCAATGGGATCATGCAGTGTGCATTTTTATGTGTATCTCCTTTCAGTCTCACGTGCTATGGTAGTCCATCTATACCACTGCATTTGTCTATAGTTTGTGAATTTTCACTGCTGTCTTATATGAATATGACCCTTTAAAATCTATTCTCAGAAATGTAATTCTTTTTTTAGTCTGTGAGTATTATGAATAATTATTTTATGAAAAGCCTTTTCTATGTTTTTTTATAATATTTATTTATTTATTTATTTATTTATTATTTGTGAGAGAGAGAGTGTGTGGGAAGGGTAAAATGGAAAGAGAGAGACAGAGAATCTCAAGAAGACTCTGTGCTGAGTTCAGAGCCCAAGGCGGGGCTGGATCTCACCACCCTGAACTCATGACCTGTGGTGAAAACAAGAGTCAGATGCTTAACAAATGAGCCAACCAGGCACCCCAACCTTATATGTCTTTTCCACAAATGGCATTTATAATAATTTTATTATATATAAGTGCATAGAAAATAGTCTATTATATTTATGGAATATAAATATTGTATTTGTCATAATAAAATACTATTGAATAAATATATTATAATTGTATTTATAATTATAATACATTTTCTTCTAAGCATTAGTATGAAATTGCATGAACATAATAGATATGTTAAATTATCTCTACACTTTTCTAGTGTTTTGTATAGATATACATTGTACAAGGTAGTCGCTATATCCAAAACTCAATAGTCTCAGAGAAACTAATACAATAATTTCTGTTGATTATATAAAGGTATCATTTTTCTGGTCTGTGAAGCATTAAGATATTCTCTTCAATGAGAATGAGAAGTACTCAGGTTTGTCTCTTGCCCATTTCACCTAGATGGTGTCTTCTTTCTTTTATTAGTCCTTGTAATTTTTTTTAAAGATTTTATTTATTTGAGAGAGAGAGAGAGAGTGTGTGAGAGAGAGAGAGCACAAGCAGGAAGGAGAGGGAGAAACAGGCTTCCCATGGAGCAGGGGGACTGATGCGGGGCTCCACCCCAGGACCTTAGGATCATCTGATCTGAAGGCAGAGGCTTAACCCACTGAGGCATGCACACACCCCAGTATTGTCATATTTTAAATAAAAGTGCTTTTGTGAGTTAATGAGATGGAAATAGTTGTGTCCTGCATTTTTACTCCCCTACTGGAGTCCTTTAATGATCAGAATTTAAATGTTATCATGGTCCAACTTATCAATTTGGGGTGTTAGTGATTATTTTTGACCTATTTCAGAAGTTAGTCAAAGTTCACGATTATAATTTCTTATATTACTTGTTGAATTTGCCTTTTCTTTATTTTTTAACTTTTATTTATTTACTTATTTTTAAAGAAGCTGGGGGCTTCCTATTGCTATATCTTGCTGAGGTTACCTCTTTTCCGTAGTCTGAAATAGTGTCCAGGGTAGATATGGATTCTGTGGTAGATAACATGGTCTAACACTGATGAAGATATATCACCCATTCCCTGATTTTCATACTACTTAAGTCACGTCTTAATCCACCCTGTTCCCTCAAGAGTATTTCTTTGTGTTCTCCAGCCATCTTCCTGAGATGTTGATTTATTTTTTTAACTTATTTTTTAAAGATTTTTAAATCTACATATTTTTGCAATAGAGAGAGACAGAAAGCATGTGCAAGCGTGAACAGGGGGATGCATAGAAGGAGAGGAAGAAGCAGACTCCCTGATGACAGGAAGGACGATACGGGACTCTATCCCAGGACCCTGGCCCAAAGGCAGCTGCTTAACCGACTGAGTCACTGAGGCACCAGAGATGTGAATTTCTATGTGCACATCTCGTAGTTTGCTAAACCTCTGAGGTCTATAAATATTTTTAAATAATATTTGGAAGTTATTCATACATTGTGAAATAAGATTGATTTTCTTGTTTGTTTGTTTTTTCCTGCCTCTCTTCTCTTTTTCATATTGTATTTAGAACTATGCTAGTTTTCCTGATACTGCTTTGAAGATTTCTGAACTCTGTGAATTTTTCTCTCTCATACTATGGGGTAAAAAATACTCTTACTCCTTTTTCAATTTCATCAACCTTTTGCTCTGCGTCTCAAATTTTCTGTAGAGCCAATTTATAAAATTTTTAATTTCAGGTACATATAAAGCAAGAATTCCTCTGTGGTCTAGTCATATAGTTTGATTTCTGTACTGATAAATCACACTTGCTATATTGCTGCCATCATATGTTCATTTAATTATTTGAACTGTTTTATTTAATTTATATATATATTACTTTAATTGCTTCTTTCTAATAATGTAATATCTTATCCCAGTAAAAGTTTCTATTGATGTGGCTTTTTTCCCCTTAATGTGGAAAACATTTTCCAGTTTCTTTTCAGGTAGATGTTCTTGACAATACAGTTCAATTTTTTAGATAGGTGTTCTTGACAATAGAGTTCAATAAACCTGCATTCTTTTTAATTTTTCATAGATTTATTATTTTTTGTAAGTTGCATAAACTTTCCTGTAGAATCTTCTCCTCTTAAGTTGGCTTCCTGATATTTTTGTTCAGTTTTTCCAAATTCATATTGTTTAATTTTTTTCTTTTTTAACCTATCTTCCTGGGTATGATCCTTATGATTTTGTACCTTAGATATCAACCACTACTTCTTTTAAAAGTCTGTGTTTGAACACTGCAAGTCAGCAGGGCTTCATCCTCTGCCATATGATATGTGTGCATGTGAGTATGTGTGTGTGTGAGTGTGTGTTTGTTGTGGGGGGAGTGCTCATAACTTCACTAGCAGTTCTCAAGTCTCCTTCAGCTTTTACTTTCTACTGGGTTCATCTTGGTCTCTCCCTGTGCACAGATTTTTTTTTTTCCCATCTGCCAAGAATGTGTAGAGAGCTCAGGTCAACTCTTCTGTCGTACCTTCCCTTACCAGTATCTTCCCATTATATTTATGGGAGTCAGAGCGATTGACCCAAAGACCACAAGCTCTGACTAAAAAAAGTATGGGTTTTCCTCATCATAACTGAGCAAAATTAGCACTTTGAGCTTGAAAATCAATGGAGTACTTTGCCCCCTTCCTAACTACTAATCAAGTCTCCCCTGTGGCACCAGCACCATTGCTACTTGTAGCGTCTCCAACTGTAAAAACTACAATTCTTCTTGATCACTGAGCTAGGGTGATGGGGGCTATGGGGGGAGAGAGAGGCAGGGGAGATGTCCTACACAAGAAAATCACAAGGTGCTTCTTCTTACTTGAATCTCTAGGATTTTTCCTAATGTACATAGTTCACAAAGTATTTTTAAACTTTATTTCACTTATCAGAAACCCAAAATTGTTACCTTTGTCAGTTTCTCCTCCTACTTAGTACTAGTAGGATACTTTTTTTAGTGTGTCCAGTGTGATACAAAAAATATAGATATAGACAGATACTATAAGGAAAGAATTAACTTTATTGTTACTACAAAATTCAAATTAGTATAAGAGCTCCTAGTTGATTTCTAATAAAATCTGCTTTCTCACAGTATTTATTGAACTTCTTCACTCCAACTTCATGGATTAGAGGCTTCCAGAGAATCAATAATAATTCATCTGTGTGGCCAAAAGGCACAACTTTCTTCTCAAAAACTTAAGTTTCCTGAGAATGTTTATATTTTATAATTTAAAAGAATTAATCTTACAAGAAAACACATTAATATGTGAGCAACTAGAAAACACAAATGTCGCACTGTTTTCATAGAACAGTGACAAGGGAAATATTTAGATTTGTTACTTA